TTGACCTGTGTTCCAGCCACGGTTGGCTCATTAACTCATACCTCTGTCCATTCAGAGTGTCCATTGGTCTGAAATCGTAGCTTGATGGTCCAATTCGATTTCAAAGCAACCACAACTTTCCAGCGATGTCTATTCGATAAGCTGTTGAATCACGTGATGTTGATCAGCTGTTGAATCCAGCAATGTCCAGCGATGTCTACTCGATCATCTGTTGAATCCAGCGATGCCGATCAGCCTGAATCCAGCGATGTAGTCGTCAGCTGTTCACTCTAGCGATGTCGATCAGCTGTTCAATCCAGCGTTGTCCATCAGCTGTTCACTCTAGCGATGTCAATCAGCTGTTGAATCCATCGATGTCGATCAGCTGGTCAATTCAACGAACGACGATCCATACAAGTTCAAATGAAGCCAGTTTTTGACTTAATTGTAGTGACTTTAACAAATATCCATTTTAAAGCCACTGGAGGGCGAACGGGAGAACTTGTTCGGACGCGTGTTCCACAAACATTTAATGTCCACTGCGCTGTCTTTCTTTAGATCTGTTGATCCTTTTATTTAAATACATATTGACACCGTACCAGAATACAGGATACTTTACATGGACACAATACCTTGACACGACTCGTTGACACGACACCTTGACACGGTCAAAAACTGTTAGCTTCCCGTCCACACACACACCTGATCCTCATTACCAGGCACTTGCATATATGCACATTTAGGTTAAGGTGCCACCCACTGTTCAATGTCAGGACTGCATGTGTACACACCCCATGTTTCCCTCAAAGACATAAGAAAACAACAAAAACTACATTTTGGCTCCAACACCATTGAAAAATGTCCTTATTTTTTCACGTGTTTTTGCAAACTAGTAACGTATCAAACAGAAAAAATGGTGTCAGACGTGAAAATATGCCGGGGTGTAGAGCCACCATATTTTCACATCTTAGTTGGGGAAATAGTTGGGGTGAACTGATTGGACATCCACACAAACGTTCGAAAACTTTCCCTTTGTAGGAAAGGTTGCGTTAGTAAGTGATCTATTTGCAGTGCGGACATTTGAAACAATCGTTCCAAGAAAAAAACTGTACAAAAACTGTTAAACTTCTTTTTAAACTGTTAAAAGAATGTAAACTTATCCTTTTCTTTTATTTTCTTTTACAACAAATGGAGTTCTTTGGCTCAGAGGAATAAGATACACGAGGGCTGTTTGGACACCCGCATACTACTTTTAATTAATATAATTATTGTTGGTCAGGGTCTTTGTTGAAAGCATGTGAAACATAGGATATTGCAGTATTATCCTTTGATGATAGATCATGTTGCATTTCAATAAACATTTCCAAGATATTTGATTATTTATTTCGAAGGGTATTGTTATTTACTTTGATTAATGTTCAATTATAGTGTCTATTAAGAAACTACATTTTCAATGATTTGCTAAAGCAAAAAGCAACATGCAGAAGAAGTGTCAGTACTTTCCCCTGCCCTGAGTAGTGTCTGCTGATGTTCTGGCAGCATACTGCATATCAGCTTTACCAGTCAGAGGGTTAGGCCAACTATACTGCTCATTTTTTCCTTAATGCCCCTGTTTCACCTCACCCTCAGAGTAAAGATATTTTGGCGGATTAGCAGTAGCATTTCCTATGATTATCCTGCCTGTGTATTCGCAAACTAGCTTGCAGCAACTAGCAACTAAAGTCCCTAGTTTCCTTTTTCCTCCCACAGTCACCAAACCTTTAAGTCTCCATTCTCTGAGTCTCACTCTTCTGAGCAGCAAAGACAGTCAGAAACCACACAGCACCAGTTTGTGTCACACACACACACACACACACACACACACACACACACACACACACACACACATATTTGAACTTCGTATGGTTCTAGAAGATAACAGACATGCTGAACCACAGGATGGCAGCAAAGCGCCGGTCTGTTTGAAAACTGGCTGATTTGCAGCAGTTGCCTGAATACCCATTTTGATTGGCTGTCGATCTGTCACTATCAACCAACCCAACAGAATAGACCAAATGCAGCTGAAAGAGGGAGAAGAATAACTGATTTCATATCTGGATCCAGTGACGGACTACTACACCACAAGGCAGACAGAATAAATGGTTTTAAAATCACCAAATCAAGACCGGACTGGTTATTTTCATTTCTGTCTAATGTGAAGACTGAAAAGAATGTCAAAATTGATCAGTGGGAACATTATTATTACATTACAAACAGGTGCCTGCTGTTACTGGTCACTACAAGCAACTCTTTCCAAACTACCTGCAGTGATTGATGATGTAAAAACATAAAAGGGTTTGCTTACTCAACTCAATTTAATTGTTGCATTTATTCAGTTTTAATGGGGACGGCTTGGGTATGCCTTTTCCATGTTCAACAGTTTTCTTCTATCCAACAATGGGCCCTAATGCAGTGATATTCTCATAAATTCGTCATATATTTTCTAGTAAAAGAAAAACTCCAGAGTCAACTCCAGATGCACCAAACGTTCTGAACCATCCAGATCTGCTCTTACCGGGTGTGCTGAATGATGGATGTTACTTGATCATAAATTGGAGGGGTGTGACTGGTTGTCTATTATTAGCCTTGGCCTAAACACTCTAGCAGCTGTAGTGTGGTGTGCAAAAACCCTGGCACATGCCCAACAATTGGTGAGATGCCACCAAAATAAGGTGCTAGAAGACGAAGAAGAAATTCAGCAGTAGTGAAATGGAGGTTCTGTTAAATAAACTTGAACAAAGAAAACATGGTTTTCTACAGCATCAGTCCTGGCGTTACAGGAATCTCATCTATTTGATGGTATTCATACATTCTTTATGTTCCTTAAATTTGTTGGAAAAACAATTTGTGGACTGCGAAAACAAGATGTATTGGTCTTATCTTGGTAAGAGTGCTCTTGACCACTCGTAACATTTTTGTTCTTACATAAGAGAAAAATAAAACTAAGAAAGCACTGGCGATCCCAGAAATCAATGGGCACTAATAAAATAAGAGCAAATTATGTATTCGTAAGGGGCAAATCTTTCACTGACACACACTGCTACTATCATTATTAGTAGTAGTGGCATTGTTACTGCTATTAAGGCAAAGGGAGCATTGACTAGTCCTTTACTGAGGCCATGCTCTTCTTCCCTTGCTACCATTATAACACTGAATTTTCTATTTCCTGTCAGTTCAGTTCAGCTAAGAGTAACCGTGACGCTGGTGTGAAACCATTAAGTCTAGCAACTAACAGTGCAAACAATGGCAACAGGGCAAAGTGTTTTCCTGAGCACAGGTAGCACCCACCGGAGGGTATACCAAGGGCATAGGACACACACACGCGCACACACACACACACACACACACACACACACACACACACACACACTGTCCCTGTGCATCAGAATTATCTGAAACTGACAGCTATCTGTGAGGTGACTGGAGAAGACAGTGTGTGTCCACTGTGATGTCTCCAGCTCAGTCGTCTTCACTGCAGAGATTTTACACACAGAACCTTTATGATGATTAACGATATATATATATATGCACAGTATTAGAAGACAAAACAAAACTATTGACGCTCTGTTGTGTCATTCTCTATTTCAGTGGTTCCCAAACTTTTTCTGTCAAGACCCCCTTTGATGATATAGGAACATTGTAAGCCCTCCCACCGCACCCGACCCCACCCACCCCAAATGGGTCATACCTTCTTTGTTTTGAATTAAATGCATTATAATATATAAACTCTATAAAATATTTGTTTTTCTTTCTAAAATAAGTACATATCACTTCACTTTTGGTTTACTGAAAGAAAAATTGCAATAGTAAAATCAATTTCCAAAAAGATTGGACTTTAGATTGCTTTCAATTAGTGCTTTCAGACATATTAATTGCATTACATTCTACGCGCGCAAACATGCCACTCCCCTTGGGGCTAAGCCCCCCCTGTCTTTCAATCCTAGAAACGCCCCTGGGTGCAACCATATCATATAGTGCCCTATCTTTACAACTTGTTTGCAATTGTATTTGTTATAATTTTATTTTATATTGTATTTGTTAACGGTGTGTGCTGATGAAGCTGTGTAGTTCCACTGTGCCCCCCCAGTGGATGTAGCCACTTTATTCGAGGTGGTGAAGTTAACATTCATGTGGACAATAAACCACACAATGGTGAGAATTATACCTGATCAGAAGTGATTTTGTTTTATAGGGTCGATTTTCTCTTGAAATATTATGACGTTATTCTTACTGTTTTTTCAAAATATTATTTTTTTTATTCTTGACATCTCAGCGAACAGATATATGGGAAATGTTCTGAATGTGCAGAGAATTTTTTAAAGAGCAGAAATATTGTTGAAACACAATTTATAAATCAATTCAAATGAATCATCATTGAGGTAAAAAGGTTCCACGTGCACATTTAAAGAGGTTAGAGACACAAAAGAGGAGGGAAGATGATAAATCATGACTACATCTAAGTTGACTCAGAGAGATAATATTAATTGAGAAAATTGAGATAACATTAATTGAGAAGAGTTGATAGAGTTGAGGAGAAAAATTATCTGAAAGCATTACTGAATGCCTGCGAGCCTTACTGCATTATGTTCCATTATATTTTTAAATTTTCAATTGTCAATTGTACCATAATGCAGGAAATGAGAGTGTGAAGTGACAGTCAAAATGTCCTGGGGGAAGATCCCAGACCTCGTTTATGTGCATCTGCACCAAACCAGTTTTGTATCTAAACCATATCACAGCTCAAACCTAAACAATAACACATTTCGAGCTGCTCTTAAAAACATTAAACATGGCAGCAGAAACTAAAAAGCCACTATGGCATGCGCAAATATAGAATCATTTGAAATATGATACATTCACATAACAATTCTGCATGAAGTTGCTTTCGAAATATTTGATCTAAAACAACTTATTCTGGGCCAATCACGGTGCTTCTAACCATAACCCTGGTGGAATTTAGACCACACCTCAATGCTGCCTACCTCATTGATGGCCAGCTGCTCTCCTCCGCCTCCTCCCGGGTGTCCAAAACGATGTCCAGAGCTGCGAAACTCTTCATACAGCAGATCCACTTCGCTACCGAGCTCGTCCCCAAAGCCCCCCTTCTCTGATGCCCCGTCAGGTACAACCACCGCTGAGACAGGGACAAAAACATCAGACAGTGTGGTTAACTGATTTACACACGTGTTGAGTTTGTGACCCAGCCTGAAACTGTGGGTGTTTAACCAATTGATATTCTTCATAAGCAGGTCGGGGTTCAATGCCATACACACACATACATAAAGTATATTCACAAATACATAATTCAGTACTAACTGTATGGTTGAAGACAAGAACAGCCTGTCTTTTTAAGAGTCCCAATAACATGGGACAGTAACTGACAGAGGCAATAATGAATATCTGTCGGTGGGACAAAATTCTCTGGGTTGAAAAAAAAAAAGACTGAAGGCAACAAAAAATCAATATGATAATCATAAACTTTATCCATAGCTGCAGAGTCCTTAACATACAAGATAACAAAAAACAACACAATTTTAAGCCATGTATCAAAGTGTGGAGTTTGTGCTTTTCCCTATTCTTTATGATGTGACCTGAATCCCTGAAAGTTTGAGCTGGTCAGAATTACTTTTGATATTTAAAATAATGAACAATTATATAAGACGTAACAAATTGAATAGATATATCAGTATTTAAATGATTGGTAGCTGTAGAGGGGGCTTTTAAATGGAATCATAAATATCATTATCATTATGACCTCAAACAGAGACAGGCAGACTCTGATCTATAGCTCGGCAGGCTGTGTCCTTACTCTCATTGGCTGTCGGGACAATCAGCTGGGAGACAGACACAGTGACAGTGCAGCTGAGCACTGGGTAGGGGTAGACACTCAGTCACTGCATGTTACTGTGCTGTGAAATAACCACAGCGAAGAAACCTAGAACTCAGGCTGTGACATCATCCCATCATCTGACAACCCCTCTGCAGCAGGACAGTGCTTCTTAAGATTCTTAATAGGAACTATTCCTAAATAGTTTGAAAAGTGGGCAAACAGCTTTTTTTCTGAAATATTGTCTTTCTATTGAACAGACATCATTAATCAGAAAAAAAACTCACTGGATCAGCAACCTCCCTCATTAAAATTCCAAGAGTGACAGACAGGATGGTAGCCATTGTTTTGCATGGCTTTCGGCCATTTGGTACACTAAATAAGAATGGGTATGATGTAGACCAGGGGTCTTCAATTAAAATTCCAAAATGTCCAGATTGAGAAAATCTCCTCGGACAAAGGTCCGGAACATAACAATAATATCTAACTTGCGCTATTTAGTGCCATATATATATATATTGAAGTAGCCTAGTAGTAGTAACAATGTCTCTGTGTAGTCAACAACTGTCAAATCAAATAAAGAAAGCACACATCAATTATATTTTAACAATTGTTATCCTCAGTTTTCAAATTTAACTGGATGGATTATAAATAATACATAGAAATACATAAATAAATGTTCTCTCATTTCAAGTAAAATAAGGGCTGGATTAAAGAATAACTGACATAACAGAAAGCTTTTCAAAAATGTGCATCTTTAAAATAAAGTACTTCATTTTAGAAAAATCTATTTCACTGAATTGTCCTGCAGCTTTAAATTCAGTTCATTCGGGTGTGAAGTGATGTCAATAAAAAAGCCACGATATTATATTTTTCTCATCTTCTAACAAGAGAAATCAGTGAGCATGGACTTTATCTGTGGTTATTAAACCACTTGTTTCAGCTCTATTCTCTCTGTTAACATCATTGTTGGTCAGTGAATTAACGTGTTAGATTCTGATCATATTGGGCTCTGAGGTTTATTTTCTGTGTCTTCATTTAGATGTGAGAGGATATGTTTGTTCAAAAGAGTTGTGCTTTGCCTCGTAGTGGCGCTTCATATTACCGCTTTTAATAATCGTCACGGTCTCTGAACATATGAGACACACTGGTTTTAAACTGTCCGTGTGAAGAATTAACCTATAAGAGTCTGTTCATTCTTGGTTAAAGACTCTGGTCTCTCTGGTCTCTTTGACCACTTTTCTCTCTTTGGAGAACGTCATGTGAAATAACTTCTCTGACTCACGTATTATTCTCCTGCTCTTCCTTCTCTTTCCTCGTCTCTCCCCCGTGTGTGTACATCTCACTCGAATCAGGAAACGTGTCAGAATACCCATATTTGATTGGCTGAGCTGTATCACGTGATGTGATTTACGCTGCATTGGTCAGTGCATTTCCTGCACCGCTGAACAAGTGCCGTGAAGGATGAAAAAGCTGCGCCGGTTAAAATAGAAGCGCTCTGTCGATTTTAGGTCCTGGGTCCGGATACAACGGCGTCTGGGTCCGGATCCGGACCGGGGTCCGCCAATTGGCGACCCCTGATGTAGACTGACTGTCAGGTTGGCTCATGCAAAGAATGACAACAGATAACCAACAAATGTCATTTGAATTCCTTACAACCAATCTGAAGCTGTTTTTCCTATTCAAATGATTACAAACCACAGTTACAATGTTATAGCTCGAGCTTTCATATGTTCATATAAATGAAGACTTGTTACATTGAGTGTAACATTATCCTGAGTAAATTATTCCATTCTGTGAGGTTTGAACAAAGGAGGCTTTGTGTTTCCTCCCATCACAGAAACATCCTCTCAAGTGTTTGTGGCTACCTGGCTGATGAGCTAAAAATACACTTGCTGTCACACCTCATCATAAGCGTCACCATTGGCTGCCTCGCCAACAGCTGTTGCCATGGAGGACGTATCTGTTGTAACAAATCACCGTGGAGACGGAGATAGGAATGGAAGAGAACATAGAGCTATGAAAGAACGCACAATAAGATGCAGTTGGGCAGCAGTAAGGATATTTTACTGAAGGTGTAGGTGACTATCGGCAACTTAAAATGAGTCACAGAGAGGCTGAGTAGGGGAGACTAACCAGCAGACGCGCTGACAGTCAATTATTCACAGATCCAGTGGCTGAGTTTTGTGGTTTTATTTGTAGACAACAAATAAACTTTTGCATTGGATAACACACATTCATAAACGTTCAAAATACTTTCTCCTCCTTCTCAACAGCGATCAACAGCTGATAATAGTAGTGTAAATAGCGTAAATAGTGTAAATAGCGGTCAGAAAAAATAAGACTCCCTCTCTCACCCCCTCTCCTTCCATTCATCCAACTAAACTATGGAACAGCATGTGTCCCCATTGCTATCCCCAACACCAGGTGACTCAATTACCGGAAGTGACAAAAAAGGGTGTACAAAATGGCACAGGCCATACCTGGCTCCTACAGAAGGTATTGACCTCGAACAGCAGCATGTTACACATCACATAACCCAATGTACTGTAACATCATCATCACTGCCTTCATCGCGGCCGTCGAGGTTTCGGGTTGTGCCCTCATGGGGGCAGTGTAGAACACCCTGACCGGTGGTGTGTGATGCTGTGTAGAGAGATGGAGGTGCTCCAGGTATCGACTGGCCTTTATTCATGTGCAGAGAGTCTATAGCAGCATGGAGGGGTGAACGGAGGGACACCACATGAATTCTCCAACAAGGCACTGCTCTGCCTGCCAACTCGAACATCAATTGCATTATGGCATAACTCTTTCTACATTACCAATACAACGATAAATGTGCAACATTGCCCTACAGTACAACAATGACACACAGTCATGGCATGCTTTTCCCCCCCATTGACCAACTACAGTCCCCCCTCCATCAGTGTACATGCATTGTTATGAACACTGATGCCTTCTCGATCCCTCCTAGTAGAATGCACACAGCAGACAGACATGGCAGCTTTGTCATAGGCCCAGAGACCAGAGTATACTGGTTGGTTCCAGGTTTCCTGTGTGTCAATTTGTCAATTGGATGAACTCATGTGTTGATGCTGCTTCACCTCAGCAGATGTAGGTGATAGTGAAGGTCTTATAGCTAGGTTTGGATACACGGCTCCACTAGAACAGCTGATGCTGCAGAACCTGCCAGTGTCCATATTGTACTTTACTGTATTTTTGTAGAGCAAAATACCTAAAATATTGCAATTAGTCAAATAAGTGACTGACATGCAGTGCCCTCATGGACCAGGGACTTGAAGCAGTTGCAGTGTTGAATCAATAAGGAATGAAACGATACACAATATCTGATATTTTGATGGAAGAGTTATTGTCAGAGGAAATAACACAGTTTAACGGTTTTCTTGATTATTAATCAGAATCATTTATAATGGTTGAATGGAAATAGGCTGTACAGAATGTGGGCTACACAGAAAGAGAGAGACAGAGAGACAGAGAGAGAGAGACAGAGACAGAGAGACAGACAGAGGGAAAGACAGAGACAGAAACAGGGACAGAGAGAGAGACAGAGAGAGAGACAGAGAGGGAGAGACAGACAGAGAGAGAGACAGAGACAGGGAGAGAGACAGAGACAGACAGAGAGAGAGAGAGACAGCTATGCAAGGAAGACAGAGCTGCACCTCCTAACAAAATGCACCAAACTTCAGCCAGTTTGAACTAAAAATGTCCCTAAATTGAAAAACAAACCTCCTAAATGTGAGCACATGAGCAACATGAACAAGATGTTGGGAGAGCACACAGAGAGCTGCAGTCTAGCAGCAGAGGACGTCTTTACCTGACACACTTTGAGCAACAGTCAATGACTTGTTCTATCGTCATATATATTTGAAGAAACTGAGATGAACTGCTGCTTTCCATACTGTTGGAGCCATATTACGAGCTTTTGGGATTTTGATGAAGAGAGAGAGCAACAGTTTTCTGAGCATTGCATGTCAAAAAGTATTCAAAATCCTTTGTAAGATAAGTTTGACATCTTCTGGAAAACAACCAGAGTTTATGGCTTAATAAATTACCTTTCAGTTATTTTGAACAGACTATATTTCTGTGCATGGTTTATGAAAGGTGTATGTTGGCAACTTATCACCTTACCTCAAGTGTCTGAGTGGAATATGTTTGCTTGGATTAGCCACTCAACACAAAGATAGGTTAAAATATCATTTTCATGTGATTTATTCAGTAAAGGCCTGCCATGAGGATGGGACAACTAAACAACATACTATGGGATGTAACAGTGATAATAGAAGGCT